TATATATATAAAATAAAAATGTTAAATTGTACATTGAATCTTGGAACGGAAACATAAGATTCGCAAGCATATCATTGGCGAGTCGCAAAAATCCGCCATTAAAATTTGCGAGCCGCGAATCGAGCTCCTCCCATCGTGTTCAAGATGTGCGCTTCGCAGTATCACTGAATGATCGCATGCGTCATAATGATGATATTCTTACCTTTCTTAAATTGCAATTGTCTTACAAGTTTAAAATTCTATTAATATACTATAAAAATGCTATGCATATCTTATCATATAGATACAAAGCATAAAATTAAAAAATATCATAAATCTCTTCTTTTTTTGTCAAATTACATTAAGAAAATATTCATCAACATAATAGTATACTGTTCGTTGTACGTATGTTTTAATTTTTTATTTTATCAAAACATGTAATTAATGAATCTGGGAACATAAAATTCTATGATTCTGATTTTAAAGATCGGCTTTTTGCTGATTTTTTCAAGCGTTTTCTTATTCAGGCTCCATTTGACGCTGGCGCCTCTTCAAGGTATCGCGCGAGACATAAGAAAGAGAAGGCTTAATTCGCCGTGCATTTCCCCTTATTTGGGCTTCCGCGCTCGATCAGACTGCAGGAGGGAGCGTAACAACTTGGGAGGGAACGAGAGGGCCGAGCCTCCGAGATGTATGGCGAGAGGACTCGTTGAGTGATGAATGTATATACCAGTCTCATTCACCTCCTACCCTATTCGGTGACAAGTCAGACCAGTAGGACTGTCTAACACGTCGCGTCAAATTTATTCACGAAAAAATCCCGCCTTTTTCATTTTTTTTTCTCTACACAATAATATCAAATTTGCTTCTTTGTTTTTGTTCAATTCAATTGATCAAATGATTCAACCGTTCCCTTTTTAACAAAAGTATGCAAGAGTAATGTAAATTTTATTAGTTTTATTCGCACAATCTATTCTCTTTTCAATGTTGACCGTAAATAAATGACTGTAAATAAATGTTTCGCGAGCTTAGAATTGATAATAAGCACTATTGCAATGTATTTGTATTAAAATTGATTTGCAAGCCCAACGATCTTAGATGCTATTCATGTATCAAGCATATGTTGTGGCTGATACCATACAAAAGAAATTATTCAATTCAGTTTACACACTTACCACGATGATTCGCGCATGCTATGAGCTGTGATCATTGTTATATTATCTATCCGTATCATGTCCAATTGATAATCAAGTCGTACGCTGTTTAATTTATTTTGTCTGAATTAAATATTTCGATGGTACCAGAAGTATGGAGAGAATCTAGAAAATCGTAAATAAGAATCTTAAAATTTTCACAAAAATTGATTAAAAAATATAAAACTATTTTTGCAATAATTTTTTACAATAGAAATAATTTAATCGTGTATTAAAAAAAAAAACAGTGGAAACGAAGATAATTAATTATTGTATCATCACATGTGTCATGCTTCTCTTTTTCTTTCGCTTAATGTTCGAGACCTTTTTTCAATCAAAATGTACAATATAATATCCAAAATGTACATATAATTTCCAATTTGTTTAATATTTTATTACGTCTACTTAAAATGTAAATCTTATTTCTTTTTGTTTGCTTGTAAAGACACCACACGAAACTAATATCACAGTTACAGTATTCGGACTCATTTAATTAATATTCCAGACTAAGCTAAATCGGGGTACAAAAAAAAAAAGCTTGACGATCGTAGCAGATTGTTTTGACATTAAAAAACTGGAAACATACACGACAAATCGTAACTTTTAGTCACGCAGGATTGTAAATGCCATTATAATGATTGGTGCATGTATGAAGAGATGTGCAAGGGGCAAAGGAAAAAGTCAAAATGACATACTCGTATATAGTACATTGGTTCAATAAAAACCGGAATAAACGTTTCTCCGTTGTCCTAATACGATTTCGTTCTGGCTATTATGTACTCTACCACTCGGGGCTGTTCAGATCGTTGCTCTTTATCGCGTCAGGGCACAACGAGTTCTCCTTTTTTAGGAGAACAACACAACGTGCCATCGTCCGTTCGTCGTCCCGATCGAAATCGTAATCTACCTCTTGCTCGGAGCATACGGAAAAACGATCTCATAAGAATGAGAAAACAAGAAACGGAGAACGCGAGACCAAAGAAGAGATGACTTGTCTGTAATTTATTCTGGATCTTATTTCACGAGACGATTCGACAATTTAAGACTCAACACGATCGCACGAAAATGAATAAACTTTATGTTCATTCCTTGTGACTGTTTGTTGAGAGAAATACCTATATTATATTAAAAATTTATTGCACAATGCATAAATGTTACTATAAAAATTTTTAATTCCTCAAACAATTTTTCAGATATATATTAAAATTATGCATTTAAACTCCATATTTTATCGTCGAGTAAATTCTGTATTTCTAAGATAATTAAAAAAATAAATAAAATTTACTCTCTCTCTTTTATTTCTCTTTCAAAATATGAAACTATTTGTGTGCTGCGTAAAATGATGACATGTTTTGTATTAGATTTACTAAATTGTCCATTAAAAATATTTCGTTGCTATAACTCAGTGTTTAATTAATATTTAAATATATCTATAAAATTTTTTGATTGATTAAAATAAATTTTGCTGCAATTAGTTAAACTTTATGTCAGTATATATTTGCTTTGTACCTAAAATATGTAAATATTAATATTGTCCGTGCATTCAGCTTATGTAAAGAACGAAATAACGAGGTTAAATAAACACACAATGAGGCAGATGATTAACAAATAATGTTGTGCTTATTTAACTTTCACTTAACGTACTCTATACAAACCGTACTCTATAAAACATGTTCGATTTACGACACCAATTCTGATCGAAGGTAATTAAAGTTGAATTTTTATTTCTAAATATATTTTCGTTCAAATAAGTATGCTGAGTGAAAATTATGCATAACATAAGTAATAGAAGACCAAAAGTGCTTTGCAAAAAAAAAAAAAATCTCGTCGTATATATGTCAAATATATTCCTACTTAAACGTAATAAAGCATTGAGAATCTATGCTCTTGATAATATCTCAATAAATCCATATGTTATAAACACATGAAATTAATCCTGTTTGTTCTTAACAACGGAGAAATCGTATTATTCGTATTTATAACATTGAAAATTGAGCACATTAGAATTACATATACACATACAGAATTTTTATATAGTAATAACAAATTTAGAGAATGAAACAAGAGGTAGATAGTCAATGAATAAAAAAATAGAATAAGAGAAAGGGCGAAGGGGGAGAAAAGAGAGAGAGAGAGAGAGATAGAAGGCATCTAAATGTTGGTCCAGGCGCGTGGGATGTTGATTGCGGTTAGGCTCGTGCCTACTCCCTCTTCTACCAACCTTCTTTCACCTTCTTTGTCTGTCACATCGCATCTTATTCTCTCTTTTTCGCTCCTCTCTCCTTTGATTCTGAATACCGGTCTGGTCTGTCGTACGCTTGTGGTGTAGTCGTCTTACACACGCACGTGCGTGCACGAACAGTCGGTTGCGAAGGTACATACGAAGGCGACTTCTTTCCTATGCGTGAGTGCGGTTAATGCACGTACATCTCACCGCGTATACATAGATTTGGATGGTGCATGGACCAGTCCTGACACGCGAACGCGCGCCGCGAGCCGCGCGCCGTCGGACAATGCTAGAGATCCGTGTGCCACACCTCTTTTCTTCCTTCTTCTTTTCCATCCCAAGAGTCCTCGGCGCGCCCTTGCGTTGGATATCTCCTGCTATATTCTTGCTATCTCGATACTTTTCACGATTCTCTTCTTTCTTCCTTACCTCAGCAGTTTTATCTCTTATTTTTCTCTTTTTTTTTTTTTGCCATGGGCAACGTTTTTCTCTCGCATCTTCTTTTTCTTCTTTTTCACGATTCACATGTCCATTTCATATTTTATGCATTTTTTAATACATTAATCATGCCCCCTTAATACTTGTGATCGAAATTGTTAAGGCATTCTGCTTTAATAGCCTCTAAAGTAACGTCTCTCTCTCTCTCTCTCTCTCTAGTTTTATTGTTATAGGAACTTAATAATATATTTGTAATAGTATGCACATCTTTTCATAAGTACCAGTTACTAAAATGTTAATTGCATGTATCAAAATACAAGAGTATATTAACGTTTTAATAATTATCACGTTGTTATCTTTAGACAAGAACATAATATATAAAAATCTATAAATCTTTGAAGTAAATTTTCGTATAAATTATCATGCAATTAAAAGCATGGCATATTTTAATGCGCTATGCAATATGTTAGCGCGATAGGTTTTGAAAGCTAGCATTGCGCTTAAACTCTGGCAATGGGTCACAAAGCGTTTAATGAAGATTATTGGTTGTTGCATACCTGTGTGTACCCTTGCGTGCATTAGCTCTGTCGTGACTCTGTAATATCTTTAAAAAAAAAAGAAAAAAATCTCTTATAGAGAGTAGAGTTGAGCCCTCATGCCGCTACGCGTAAAACGCGCATGAGCATATCACTCGTGACCAAACGGAGAACAGGAGAACCTTCAATCATCAATTTATGAATGAACGGTTAAGAGTTCCTTTCGGTGAAAGTCTAAGGCGTACGCTCCAAGAGACTGAAAGCAAAAAAAAAAGGAACCAATTGAGCAAGACGGAGACTGCGGTTAAATATTGACGAGCAAAGCAAAGCTCGTAAACAGCGCGAGCGGAGAGAGAGAGAGAGAGAAAGAAGCTATACATATAATAAACGTACGTAATGTAATTTATTTATAATATTATAATAGCATAAGATAAAAAATAGATAGAATACGCAATGTTTATCAAGAGAGATTTGATGGCAATTAAA